ACCCCAAAACCCCGCGCATTTGAATTAGAGAGTAGAAAAGTTGTAATTAATATTTCATATTATTATGTTATACCATTGATTCAGTATTTACAAACATAGAATATGGAAGCTTTAAATATATTTTACATGTTCGATATGAATGCTGATATTTTGCTATGATTAATCACGTGAGATCAAAAAAATCTTTGGGGAAGTGATTTTTACTCTTCATTAGAGATTTAACCCTACTAGCCTATAAACCCCCATTATTGGATTTCCTAGTTTTGATTCTTATCTGTTGATTCATGCTGTCTACTCTTGGAGATTCACTTCTCGCTGGCTCATATCTGCTATCCATGTCATAGTTCTCATTAATATTCATAAAAGTCAATCTCAAATGAGCATCGTTGGCATTACTAACTGAGTTATCAATCTTTTATACTCCAGGATTTTAAGGAGTTATGAATAATGGGTTCTTAAGAGTCTTAAAGTTGGGCAGATTTTCTTCTCTCAACTCAATATCAGCCTAAGGTGAAAGGAAAATCTCACTAATTTGATTTAAAGAAGGATCATGTCTAGATTTTAGAGGTGTTAATTTTTCGGCTCCTAACATTTCAAGTGGTGGAATCTATTTTTCATATTCTCTTAATACAGACTTCCTTTTAATGCCATAGCTGCTATTTTTGTTCAATCTACTTTCCTCAAGAATTTGCTAAAATTTGAGTTCCTCCTTTAGTTGTCCGATCTGTGGTTTTTATTTTACAGTGTTTTATATTCTCTCTAAAGATCTTCTAATTTCGTCTTAGTCATCCTAGATTTAAGATGAGCTCTCTCCCTAGTTACCGAATTCAAAACGCTTTTTAACACTTCTCAATCGACTCTAAGACTCGATATCTCGTAAATTCTTTTACGACTACTCAGATAACATTATTTTTTCCCTTTTTATTGGCTGAAGTGGTAGATTAAAATTGAGCTCAGTGTTTATTCTATTACTTACTTTCATGATGTTAAAGGTATTTTATTGCACATTAATAGTATTGAAATTACTAACATTATTCGTATATTATGATTGTTTTCTGTTTTTATTGTTGTTTTTATTTGAATCTTAAGATTCTTACAGGATCAACATGAGATTATTGCCATTGTTTGTATTGCTTTCATTATTATAATGGCCTAAGGAACTCTTTCTTATTTGCAGTTAGTTCAATACATTATTTTTTATTTACTTAATATGAGAAATGTTCCTATGACTCTGGGCTTGTCTATTTAAAAAGTTCTGATTTGAAGAGTCACTGTTAGTTGGGATTTATTATGTTATGTTAGTCGTCTAATTTTAGTTATCTTAATCATGATGAGAACTTTAAGTATTCTTATGCGAGCTTTCCTGATATAAATCCGAATCATCAACTGTATATCTTCTATCCTTGATTGCTGTCTAATTACGATATTTATCAAGAGCATTAAAATTTTTCCTTGGGCTTATCTCCTATGCACTAGGGTGTCTAGAGAGTCGACTAGACCTTGGATGTTCAATTTCATTATTAAATAATATTTGTTTGTCAGAGGAATTCGAATTTTACGATGTCACTTTATCTAATTTTAATTTACTTATAATGTTCTAATTTTCCATTAGTTTTTCTTAAAGTTTACGTTAATTATCAACCAAATTTTCAATGATGTTTGACAATTAATCAATCCTTTAAGAAGACTCATTAAGAGAGACATCTTAAGATTGGTGTCTTGAATCAGTAGATTTTCTAACTCCAAAATTGTCTGACTCATTTTCCAATTAAACTGAATATTGGAACTTGGAAATTTATTCAAATTTATCGTTAAGAATGGAGTTTTTGAGATTTTTAACTTACTGAGTTAATGGATACTAATTTTATTAAGAGGACTATGATTTATCTATTTTAGGGTTGAATTCATTTGACTTGTCCTAAATTTTAAAAGTCAAATTGTACTAATCCACTTATTAGAAATTATAGGATTCTCTCTTTTTAATCATATCTTTAAAAGTGAACTTCTAAGAAGCATCTATTAAGATTGGTTGTGAATTAGACTATAATAATCCATTATTTATCAGTGATGTCCCATCGCTATTATTATTTGCATTATTTGGTATAATCTTTTTTACTTGCTTTTAATTTGATGCTGTTTTAGGGTAGAAACTTTTCTAGGTGTCACTTGGGTCATATCTTTAACTAGCTGGAGTAGCTTACGAATCACTTTCTCTCTTTTGACTTTAATCTTTTTATGATTATTAAATTGAGTTTTAGAGTGTCTCAATGTTCAAATTTGGCTAATCGATTCGTTTCATTGAAGATACCCGCCTCTCATTTTGCAACACGATATTCTAACTTACTAACTAGCCCTCGCTTCTCGTTGTTGGTAAAGATTTATTATCTCTTTCAGTTGGTGGCATACTAGAAACCTGTTTTTTAATTTTTTTGTTTTTGTTACTTGGTGCAAATTTGATCTTGTTTTAAGGAATTACTAGGTGACCTTTCTAAAAGTAAAATCCTTTTATTCCTCAAATTCTTTCTACACTTTTAGGATCCTATTCGCTACTCTTACTTTCTTCTATAGGTTCCAATTGTTCTGTGTTAACTGTCAAAAAATTATTGTTTTTTTAAGTGGGAGCTAAATATTAGACTTTTTTAAGATAATATTTTACCTATCATAATCGATGAATTAATTGTATTTTTATCTTCGTCATTTATGTTTTCCACTGTCGTTTCCATGATTCAATCAGATTCGTAAATGATAGAAAGTTTATTATCTTTGTCAGGCTTGTCCTTAACTCTTGAATCAATTCTTTTCCTGAGAACATGAAAATTATTAACTGCAGGAGAGTAATATTTATCCTACTCTAAACAAATGTTGTATTCCATTAGATTATTTTAATAAATTACTCGATAAACCTTTGACTTATTATTCATCGTCAAGGGGTTTTGGGGTTTTGGGGTTTTGGGG